TTTTCAGATGCTCTTTTATTTCTGTTCTGCCTGCAAACCACTGCTTAATTAATTTTGGTGTGATTCTGCAGGTCTTTTGGGGGCAAAATAAAATTCGTTACATTGACCTGAATTTAAATCAACCACATCTTGACTGGTGATAATAAATTTAGCTGCCTAAAATTAGGTACAGAGAGTAGCCTGAGCTTTATAAACTGCACTTGTAGCTCTAAGAGTTGTGTATGGGACCATGTGAATATGTGGCATTTGCAGATGGTTTACATTTGAGTGTGTAGTAAGGATGTAAAATCACAGCTTCAGATACACAGATTTGTAAGAGTTTTACAAAACTAAAGTAAAAATATCTTATTTGGAGTAGTACTGAGTACACTCCTAACACTACTGTAACTTCACACCATAATGAAGAAAAGCTCTTATTTTGGTAAAGCAATTACTCAGTCAATGCTAATTATGTTTGGCTGTATTATTCCAACGTGACTCCTCAGAGAAGCTCAAATGCCATTTGCCTGCTGAGATGAATGATATTAAAAACGAGTTGAAGAGGTTTTTAAAAGCAGGCTGGTGTTGAGGTGTCAGACTCTTCCAGGCCTCTGGGCTTTCCTAGGCTGTTGATTTTCCTTTATTCTTCTGATGAAAGTAAAGATTTAGAGATGTCCCAGTCTCAGCCCCAAACCAGTTTGCCTCTATGCAGCTTTACAAATATAGGATTTTTAAGTGAGGTGATACAAGTTCCTGAGCCAGGAAAGTAGGCAAGACAACAGTGGAATCTCACAGGCAGTTCATCCCTGCAGATAAAGGAAGCGTAATTATCCCAGGATTTTCTGTCAAAATTCAGCCTTATATATGAAATTAAATCATGTATTTATGTCCTATGTATTGATGATATTGATGAGAGCAGCCTGGTATTATGAGAGAGAGGGTTTCAGCAGCTTCTGATCTGAAAATGATGAGGAGACAGTGGCACTGAAGGAACCTGCTTTTTCTATTTTTTCACCTTTTTTATCTGAGAAGAGGATAGTGCAACATCTCTCTTGTTATTTTGTCCTGCTCTTGATAGGCTGTTTGGGAATGACCACAATAGTTCAGTCATGTTTGCTGTTGCATTTGTAATTTGGGAGCTTGCTTTTGCCCCATAATACAAAGACAAAAGTTAGTGTAATATAGATAAGGACTCTAAGGTTAGATAAAGCCAAACAGCATTACAAAAAATATCTCTGGGTTATGTTTTGATGTGTCTACTTTATGACTTCACTGTTTTAGAAATTAAAAGCAAAGGCATATGAAACTTAACTTTCTTTTTGCTCTTTTATTTAATAAGTTGCTCTGTTTCAGGGATCCCTGGGTCTGTGGCATCCACTGGAATTTGTTGCACTGTAGTAGATACTATTCTGTATTTTCAATTTGCTGCTTTCAGCTTTTCATGCTTACAAAGTATTGTATATTTTATGATGAAACCAAATGGCTTCTTCATACTCTGAGTAGTAACACATGGTAGGGAGGGATGGCTCCTCTTTTTTTCCCTCTTCATATTTCCTTGCCTCCCCTGCTTAATACTCTGCAGCATCAAATGTAGGGCATTAATTCCCATAAAGTCGGTTTGGACAAGGAAATCTTATGAAAATAAATACAGAGAGGGAAGACAGAGTTTTTCTGGCTTGAGCTGCAGTTGCTACAAACTACCATCTGTAGTAGCTGGGCCTTACAACTTTGAGTTTTATTTCTGGAAAACATCACTGCCATGTGTTGAATGTATTATAATGCTCCACATTTCCTCAAAGTGAAAGCACTATCATGAATGATTATTATGAATTACTTTATTGCTCAGGAGCTTATGGCTTCTTGACATTTAAAAAGAAATTGTTCCTCTTAGTGTGATTTTTGGGAATTTTGATTTATGACTGAACATTGCTGTCTAAATGAGTTTTGGAAGCTGAAGGAAAGCAAGTTAACTTCAAAAACTAACTTGGTTCCAGAAAGAGTGTTTTGAATAAGGAGATAACTGCTCACAATTCTGACAGTCACTTAAAGGACAGAAAATATTTAGAAAATACCATGTATTACATGCATTTACCATTAGCATTCATTTAGGAACCAGAACACATTATTCATGTGTTAATACTTTAAAGTAGAAACATGTAGAATTAATGGGTTCTAAAAGCATAGAGAGAAATCAGTATTAAACAACTTTTATTCCAGTTGCATGGAGAAAACAAGTATTCTCTAGTGATAGCTTTAATACTTCCCAAAACTAATACTTTGAATTGAGTCAACTACTCTCAGAGTAGTAGGGAATCTCAAATTATCACCACCCAAATATGATGAGCCTCAAAGCTGTGATTTCTGCTTTTTACTTGACATATTAGAGCAGCACTTCTGTGAGCAGCTCTTCTTTCTCTTAATACTTTTGAGATAAATCTGTTCTGCAATCAAAATGGCAAAAATTGTTCTGTCCATGGATCTGACCATGGAAGCATGGGAGGGCAGAGGGGAAGCAGTGAGGCAATCTCTGAGACGTGACCCAAATACTTAATTTTATAGAGTTAAGTACACACGTTCCATTCAGCTGATAAAATCAGCTATGGAGAGAGTGTTGCACAACTCCTGTTTGTGCAGAATACATAATCACATCATTGTCTTTTTCCAAATGCTTGCAGGAATGAAATGTGCCCTCCTTGTAGAATGAGACTACCACAGAAAATCACAGCAGTCCTCAGCAAAGGGAAGATTTGAGTGCTTTTACCTTATATTAAGACACAACAGAAGCTTGTGCTGCTTGTGCAGGTAACCAAGCAGAGGTTGTTAAATCCCAGGATGAGGTTGCCCCATCCCTGGTCAGAGAGCAGGCTCCAGGTTTACCCTGCAGGAGCACAGAGCTGCTCAGCACAGCACATGGGAATCGTGGGGAAACCAAGGTTTTGGAACTGGCTCCTGCTGTCCTTCCCCTTTGCTCAGAGCCACCGTGCTGTGGAGCACATTGCAGTAGGGAACACTTCTCAGAAAAGGAGTTAGCAACCCAAATGGAAACGATTAGGGTTTTCTGGGCTTTTTAGGAGTGCCTGGATGCAGATTGCAGTGGTGTGATGAGTCAGAGAGGAGTTTGATAAAGCAATAATAGACCAAACCCCTAAAACGGCAAGGCTAAAATATAATCCTATGACTTCTCATGGCAAATGCATTGCAGTAACTTTAGTATCTATGCAGTGCTATGAAGAGACAGCTGCCATGAGTTAACTAGGCCTGCTCTGACCCTTCCAGCAGTTCATGGTGGAGTAGGAATTGATAGCAATGCAGAGTTTTCCTGTTAATCTGATGTGCCTTATATGGGCACAGTGATTTAACTCTGCCTTGGCCCGCTTCCAAGTTTTGCTAAATTCCTGTGAGGAAAACCTTCCTGTAGCTGAAGCCAAAACTCCCCTAGCTGAATTTTGCAGATGTGATCATGTGCCATGTTACTATTTCAGAGATTGGTGCTTCTCGAAGTCATACTTCAAATATTGGATCTGTGTGTTTCAAGACTTTGTCTGGCAAAGTATGAGGCCACATAGTTCTCTTACAGGAAAAATGTCTTATCAGAACAAATGCAGAACTGGCAGGTCTCACAAAATAAAGCTCCTCTAGAACAGCCAAAGTTTCAGTAGTGCTGGGAGAGCACAGAAGTTCATGCTCTCAGTGCCAGGAAGATTTGGGTTTCCCCTGGAAACACACAGTTTATTTGTGATTAAATGCAGCAGAAGTAAATAAAATAGCTTTGTCATTTTATGTCCTTTGTCAATGTTCAGTTACAGTATTTGATAATACTATTGCATAGACTTCATTTTCACTCCTTGACATTTGGGTTATGGCTCTTCCAATAGTAAGCTCTGGTGTTGTAGGCTTTTTAGTATTTACCTTGAATTTGAATGCAATCCAGCTTAAGTGTTGTTCTGGAATTAACTGGATATTTCAACAGTTTAATTTTGTAGGAGGCAAGGTTTCTTATTTCTGTCACATGGGTTGTTATCACAGCATATGCCAGTGACACTGTTTAGTCTTTACTTGTTATGATGCTTAATTTTAGTGATTTACCCACACACACTTTTTTTCCTCCCTTGAACTTGTATGTCATCTTATCAATTTTCCAAGGTAGACTCTTGTCAGCTCATGTGCCAAGATTTCAAGGATAATCAGAATTAAAATTTATAGGCAACTTCCTTAGAAACTGTTGGGATCATCAGGAATCATGAATGAACTTGCTTTTAAATCAGAGCAACTTTATCTAGGTATACTTTATAGCTTTTAAACCAAGTTAATGTAGGAAAAGATATTGAAGAGAAGTTGCAGGAGAAATAGCTTTTGAATATTGATGCATCTGAACTTAGAAAGGCAGGCACATGTACACTGCACATTTATGATGAAGTCAGCCCTATATTGGATGGAAATGAGTTTTGAGGGTAGATCTTTCAAAAAAAAAAATTATTTTACCACTTACAGGGCTAGCTGCACTTCTCTGATTTTTGTAGTGTCTTAGTGAACTCTTTCATTAGTTGTCCATTATATGCTTTCCAAATCTGTAATGAAATTTTTACCTTTGTAATACTTGGAACATGAGCTAAACTCCAGCACTGCTTGTATCCACCATGGTTATCCTGCAGAGCCAACTGCATCCAGCCACCTCTGGCTTCCTGGTTCATGGGGGAAATTTGGAACACTGGTGGTTACAGGGACCAGAGAGCACTTTGGTTTCAAATATTCTGTTTGTCTGACAATAGCATTTTAAATAATAGTTTTGAAGGTATTACAGCATACATATCAAATGGTGTTGAGTGAGGGAATGGAAATCTGGTAGTTTGTATTGTCATGCCCAGATTAATAGTGCAGATGTGGTGAATTTGAGACAGCCCTCAAGAAGACAAACCTTTCTTGTTGGAGGTTCCTTGTGTCCAAACTACATATGTGCCATGGCAGGAGCTTGTGGATTTGTCTCCCTAATGTATTATCATCTCTTTGAACCATTTGTGCAGTGAGAAGACGCTCAGAAGGGCACACCCCAGACATGTCACGGGCCAGCAGCTTCACTGATGACACCGACCTGGCACCCGAGGAGTCCCCGCTGCCAGCGGCATCCGACGTGGCACAGTGAGTGAGCAGCAGCTCCTTGACTGGTCACAAACATCCTCGTTAGTGATGAGGGACACCTGTCACTGAGTGAGAGCTATTCTGCTGCTGGCTGGTGCACTTAAAGTGATGAGTTTGATTTTGTTTAACTGAATGTGAACATTTCCTACCAAAGGCAAGTTTAGCCTTAGGTTTGGTGGAAGTAGCCAGGTGCTTGGAAAAGCAGCACTGGTCTGTGATGGGTGCCTTGCAGTGTTGGTGTCTTTGTTTTCCCACTTTTTAAGACAGCTGACACCATTCCTGAGAGCTGTGAGCTTTGCAGACAGTTTTATACTTGTAGACTCCTCCACCAGGTTAAGCTCTAAAGCAGTCCTAATGTGAATTGATTGGATACTTAAATGAAAGCTGGTGAGGGGCTTGGAACACAAGTCCTATGAGGAACAGCTGAGGGAGTTGAGATTGTTTATCCTGGACAAAATGAGACTCAGGAGTGACCTTATCACTGTGGCTGTGCTCAGGTGGAGTTGGTCTCTTTCTCCAAGCAGCAACTGACAGCACCAGAGGACACACAGTCTTAAGCTGTGCACCAAGGGAAATACAGGTTGGATATTAGGAAAAGTTTTTCATGGCAAGAGTGATCAGGTACTGGAATTGTCTGCCCAGGAAGGTGGTGGAGTCACCATCCCTGGATGTGCTTAGAAAAAGATTGTATGTGGCACTCAGTGCCATGGTTTAGTTGAGGTGTTAGGGCATGGGTTGGACTCGATCTTGAAGGTCTCTTCCAACCTGGTGATCCTGTGATTTCTGTGAAATAGTCATTTATAGATACAGCCTGAAAATAGAAAGGTTACCTCATATAGTATTTTTATAAAGCAGGCACACTTTTAAGGAAAAGATGTTGCACAAATATGAAAGTGAAATTATTGTCCAGGACAGAAAATCCCCATCAGGGAGTTCACTGCAGTTGTTGAATTGCTTTTACTTGTCTTAGCAAATATTTCTGGAAATAAACAAAATAATCCTGCAGGGAAACTCTATATTGTGCTTTAGCGGAATCCTGAGTAACCTTCATGCTTTTGTCCTGTAATATACATGTCAGTATTGGGCATGGGGATTCTGGAGTAAATTTCAAATGTAAAGCAAGGCATTAAAACACAGAGGAAGGTCTGGATGGACCAGAGCATGCAGGTGCCACAGCAATGTTTTATCTCCCATCAGAAACCAATACAAACAATGCTGGTGAGGAGCTCTCCTGAGTTAGCAGGCTCTTGAAGGTCTATCCGATGTTTGATGTTATGGTAATGTTGGTGAAAAACTCACCTGAGATCACCATTGCAAGAGAAAATATAGGCTTGTCACTGGAAAAACCCTTTAGTAAATATCTGAGGTTAAAAGAAAAAAAAAAGAAAAAAATTGTTGCTTGCCTTCAGATAGGGAAAAATACCCCAGTGGTGTTCAGGATGAATTTGAAAGCAATGTGATTCCATTCTATGATGTGATTGCCTTTAAGAGGTTTTCTTTTGTATCCTATGTTTGCTTTCTGCCAGGGAACTCATATAGATGATGTGTCTGCTACACCATAGTAACTGTACTGTGCTTTCATACCAGACCTTGTATTTCCCCAACATGTAATATTGGTCTTGCTTTCAAATCAGAGAATTTTAAATTATTCTACCAAATTGGTATTTTTTCTTCTTTTTATTCACCACAGTGCAAGCAGAGGGGTTTGCATTTGAGGGAAAAAAACCCTCAGTTCTCATCTTATTTCCACTGTTTAGAGCACAAAAAATGGTGGTATTTTGACTTACATTGTGTAGCACAAACTGTACCTGCATTTTTAGCTTCTGTTGGTGTTTTTTCTCCCTTGTGGGGAAAATAAGGAGTAGCAGAAAGATAATCAAATGCACAAATGAAAAAGAAATTAAAATATGGAGAGACTTATTGTATTATACAGTTTAAAGGAATATACTATGAAATCATTAATTCCTCTTGTTGTGGCTGTCAGGTGCACGGAAATAGAATGATCTTGCAACTTAAATTTCTAAATTAAGGATTTCTATACTCTAAGCCTCATGATAAAAAAAATATGTATAAATTCTAGCTTCTAAATATTTGTAAGAAACTTCAAATGTATAGAAAAAATAAGGCCAGAAATTTTAAATACAAAGGTGCCATGTAAGAACACAGTCAAGACAAGACAAAATTTCATCCAGTTTTCTGCTTCTAAACTGAGCATAGCTGTTTTCACCTCTATCACTGATCATCTAGTTTTCTGTGTCTTCCTTTCTACCTAGTAGGTTGCATTCATTTAAGAGTTGTCCTGATTCTTGAGCAGAAATGTGTAGTGTCTCCTTATTTAAACTGGGAACTTTATGAGAGAAGCACAGAACGTGTTGTCCTCATGGATACAGGTTTAAACTCCCAACTGCATTTGCCTGATACACACATCAATATCAGACATACACAGTGTAATTATTTATCTTGTCTTTTGGCAGAAGTGTGAGCAGGTAAGTCTTGGTGTGTGCTGCACTTGCTTTTGTGTGTGTTTTCCAAACATGGCTTCTGCTTTTCATTTAATTAGCAAAAAATCTTCATCCTAGCGTCATAAAAGCAGTCAATGATTAGACAAAAATGCTTCCCAAGGTAAAATTCAGCCAAAAGGGAGTGTGTGTGTGTGTATATATATGTATATGAACATGCAGTGAGCCTTCCCAACCTGCAAAATAAGTGAAAACTTGGCTTTCACATATCAGTTCATGCCAGGATCCCGCAGTGATGACAGTTTCACATGAGGCACTTTGTGAACTCAAGTTTGATGTTGTGGAGCTGCCAAATGCCAAAGTTTTGTTTGCCTTCAGCAAGTGTTTTAAGCTACAAAATCCTCCAGTAAACCTTTATTTCAAAGTCTGTAACTGACCATTTTTAAGCTTCCTGTGTTGATTATTAAACATGGTGCCAGGTCTACAATGTAATGTTTTGAGGGCTGTTTTCTGTAGTGTGAACAATAGATGCTTGTGAAGTGTGCTCTGCTGGATGGATGACAGCAGAGATGCTCTCTCGTGACATAAGCTTTGCCTTAGGCCACACTCTCTTGCAAATTGCCTCCATCGTGTGGGAAGGGCAAATGATATCCCAGGAAAACAGATTTTCTATCCTTAGAACAAACCTCTGCCACTTCAATCTGCATGTGTGTAGCAGATTCACGTCACAGTAACTCAGGTGGGTTTTGCCAAGCAAGCACCAGGCTGCTTGAAAACTGCTGATATTACTGTTTAGGGTGATATTTGACTGAAAGCAAAACAGCTCAATGTGTTGCAGCACTGCCCAGGTCTCAGTGGTGGATGCATCCACCAGTGGAATTCTGATGTGAGTGGTCCATGCAAACCTGGAGAAGCTAAGCTGCCCTGGTAGAAGCTGTCAGTAAAATCAAGCAGCAAGCTGGAAAATGGAGTTTGAGAGACCTTTCTGTAGAAACACAGTTGCTTTGGATCCCTTGGACAGCTGGGATGATGTTTGTTTCTGGTGATCTCTGCTCAAATGTGAACAACTCCTGAGCCAGTGGACAGAAGCATCACATTCAGTTGGTAACTCTGTGGCTGCCTGAAGTTCTTGCTGAGTGTCTCTGTCCCATTTCCTCAGGGACCAAAAATCCTGTGTGCTGCTGACCTGAGTAGAGCTCTGTTGGTTTATAATGACCGTTTCTGAGGTGTCCAAAGTTGAATAAAAATTATATTAGAGATTAAACAATTCTGACAGATTAAATATATTCATTTCAATCAGTTGATCAGTAGTTCTAATTTAACAAGAAATGTTTGGACTACCTCACTGCCTGATGTAATTACTCACCTAGTATTTCAAATTCTCTGATGAAATCAGAAGGGAACTCCATCAGTGCATCACTGGAGTTTTGCAAGAGTAAAGGAGAACTCAATAACTTTAAGACTTAGTATTTTAATTTTTTTTTTTTATCTCCAGCTGGTTCTATTTTTATTGTGATGACATGGACCCTTGGCCATGACAACATTTTCTGTCATACACACCAGAGTTAACCTTCCATCAGGAGAGAATTTGGCCAATAGACTGCACTGAAAGATTACACCAACCTGGTCCCAGATCTCCCAGCCTCAGGAAGAACATACACAGCAGCAGCTTTAGAGGCAGACATCCTGTTTTTGTTTTTCAGAGCTCTGCGGTTTGAAGCTGTGGTGTCTAAAGCTCTTTCCACTGTAAGGAAAAGCAAAAGTTAGAAATTCTATATGTCAGCACGGTTCAGCAGCTGCGGTTGAGTGTGCATTTTGTGGCTGGCTGAGGTCACATGGAGGTGAATGTCAGCTGGTCCCTGGCGGGGAGCAGGGCAGGGCTGCAGCTCAGCCAGGCTGAGATGTGCAGGTGTGCATCTCTCAGGGGTGTGCGATGCACACACGGTGCCCGTGGCCAGCGGTGGCCGCCCCCAGGGCACAGCTCCTCAGCTGGAACAGGCTGCCAGGGAGATGAGGGCTCCACCTGCTCCCCACAGGGAAACTGGGGCTTCCTTGCTTTTTGTGGGCTGGGACTTGCAGTTGCTCTTCTTTCTGAATCTCTGTATCGTGCTTTATCTTCTTTTTTTGCCAGGGTCAGGATTAAATGCTTGCAAGATGATATTTCTTGTTCAGACTCAGATGTTTATTAATTCTTATCTATATTACAGTGAGTTCTACAGCACTTCAAGCTAACAAGCTAAAAATGGAGATGTATCTCTCTCTCTCTACAAGGCCTTTTAAGGGCCAACTGTCCAATTAAGAATGACACCTAAATTATTTTTACTTTTAACCCCATAACCAACCACTCGTGACCCACAATGCAGAATTTTCCATCCAATTAAACAAGATCACCTAGACTCATGAAGAAGAAGGAAACCTCCTCCCTAAAACTTCCATCTTGCTATGTATATATTACTATATTATAAAACCTTAAATTCTAAGTTTTCCACCGTATGTCAAACTACACACTCGTGATCCCAGTTCTATCATTCGATTTTGGAA